TTCAATGACTTCCTTAAACAGGTCAGTTTACTTTCATTTAACTTTGTAATGACCATAAAACATAAGAGTTGAATGCATCCCCAAAGTAATTCACCTTTTCAATATTTAATATTAAATATTTCACCTTTAAGATTATTTGTAGTCCTGATAAAATGAGACTTCATGGTACATCTTGCCCACATTACAATATTAACACTAAAGCTGCACAGTTTACCAGCTTAAAAGATCATATTTCAAAGTTTTCCACAATAAGAAGGGAAGGTAGAAAGAAGAAAAACAGAAGATGTGAACCAATTTGGGTTACAATACATATATACATGGAAATGTCACAAGGAAACTCCCTGTGTAACTATCTTAAACAAACACAGATGTGATTTTTTTTTTCTTTTATGAAATCAGAGAACAGGAGGGCCAAACAGGTCTTGCCTGGGGGGATTGGTACCAGTGGCGGGGGAGGAGGTGGGTAAAGGGCATGGGAGGGTGAATTTAGTGCAAATACTGTGCAAACATGTATGTAAGTGGAAAAATGAGACCTGTTGAAATTGTCCCAGGAATGAGGGGAAAGGGGATAAAGGAGAATGGTGTAGGGAGTGAATTCAGGGATTATATCTTTGATATATTGTAAGAATTTTTGTAACTGTCACAATATACCCCCACTCAGCACAATAAGAAAATCATATTTGAGCACCTTCAGATGTCTAAAAGTGTCTATCATCCACCATTTTATTTATCATTGAAGATATAGTAGAATTTCCATCAGTCAGTTTTGTGGCCTAATGTACCAACTTTTATGTGGCTCTAGCTCGTCATGTGACCGACCACATGACAACTAGTATGGCCCTAGAAACTTAATTTATAAACTGTGATTTTAGAAGTCAATTCATGTCGATTCTATGTGCAATAAAGAAAGAATAACACATTGTAAATCCACATCTCCCTCTATGGTAGGCACTTAAAGTAGACTGTATTCTCACAAACTGGGTTTTCAATGAGAAAATTTGTGGTTATAGCAGCCCATTATCAGCCAAGAATAGGCTGTGATGACTGTAAACCTCAGTTTGGCCAAGGCTCAGACTGATTCTTGCTCAGTTCCCACTGATATTGGGAATGCCAATATCTAAACACCTTACTTGCAGAAATGCTTTTTTATAGAGAGCAAAATCTTTTTATTTATGACACTGTAGAATAGCAGAACATTATCTGCTGGGTAAGTTTTTGAAGAGTGTGTTGGTTTGTTCATTGACTCACCTGTATTTATTATATACATGCAATGCTAGGGTCTCCAGGTACCACAGTAAGTAAAAAAGATGTGGTGCCTGCATTCATTGAACCTATAATTTACCTTTCTAAGAAATCCAGTGCTAAAATCCAGTGCATTGGTCTCATCGCCTCCCTTGCTACTAAAGGAGGCTTTGTCCTTCTTTGTGAGCTCTAGCAGCTCTGTAGACAGTGGTTCATAAGCTCAGGTGCCTAGGCAGATGTGTTTCACTGTGTTAAATGGGCAGGTTATTCCCTTTTCTGTATGTGTGTGGTGTTCAATGAAGCTTTTCCTAGTTGAAGAGGTGCCTTGTAAATTTATTAAACTCAAGATATTAACCTTAATTTAATAGTTACATATCTTCTTATTTTTTATTATTTGGTGGTACTGGGATTCAACGCAGGGCCTTGCGCTAGTTTGGCAAGTGCTCTTCCACTTGAGTCATGCCCCCAGTCCTTTTTGCTTTGGTTATTTTTGAGATAAGGCTTCATGCTTATGCACTGGACAATCTGGACTGCAATCCTCCTATTTGCATTTTCCACCCAACTTTTTATTGGGTTTTTGGCAAAAGTGAAGTCTTGCAGTCAGAGGTAGGAATTTTGAGTGGGTTTTTTATTAGGAAAATTTGAAAGGACTGGATTTGGGAAGTGGTTGGATGGAGGCTGTTTCTCAGCTCTCATTCAATTAGAATCCAAAGGAGACATGAGAGAATAGAACAATCAGTCTGGATTATAATAACAGTTTCTTTTATTGAGTGTCTTCTGTGTGCTAGGTATTATGCTTAATATTAATCATAACTGTATCCAAATCTTAAAACATCCCTGGGAAATTTGTTTAATCCTCATTTTGCAAACATGAGGCTCAAAGCTCAGAAAAGTTAGCAAATTAGCCAGAAGTCACATATTCAAAGTAAATTGCCCACATAATCACTAGAATATGGAACCCGGATTTGAATTAGATGTATCTTCTTACATGATTCTGAACATTAAAAAAAAAAAAACAAAGGTTATAAAAGGCAGTTATTTGAAGTATACAAGTAATAATATATGTTCATTGTAATGATCAAACAATACTTATGTAAATGTGATACAATTAAGGTTCTTTTTGCCCTCTACAATTACACCCTATAACAATTATAGAAAAATATTTCAACATATTGGTGCAAAACAATTACAAATCTGCTTATACAAACATGTGCAAATGCAGTTATTTAAGGAATTGTGTCTCTTCCTGGCTCCACTAAGCCAGGCTTCAGTTCAGTTAGAGGCTCACAACTTTCTAATTGAATATTCCTGTTCTATTCCACTGTTCTTCTGTTTTGAAAGATGCAAGGAAGGCAGATTTTAAAAACTCTCTTGGTGACCTGTTCGGTTTTTTAACCTTTGCTCTCAGAAACTTTTTCCATTTCATTAACTCGGATAATTCTCCTGAAGTTTGAGCAATTTCTATCCTGCCCCACCTATGTGGTAAAGGGATAGCAGCCAGTCACCACATCGAGTGCAATTACAAATTGAAAGATTGGAAAAAAGAAATTGGTGTGGTAAATATTAAAAACTTAGCCACCCATATAATAAAAAACACACATTAAAAATGATTGCAATTTCCTTCTGGCTCTTTTCAAAGTGGTTAGAAGAAGTCTAGCAAATTCAGAATTATACAATTGGGAATTTTTAAAAAGTTATGACCTGTACTTTTTTATTTTGGAATTTTAGGCCATCTTCTACAAATGCATTGGCAAATTCATTAACTATGAAGTCAATTAATTCCCCATTAGCAGTTTTATTTTGACCTATAGCCGCACTTGGTTTCTAGTGTTCTCCTAATATATTAATTCTTTTAACTAGGGAAAAAACATTATTCCACTTCATTGTAATTAGAAAATACAAATATTACTAAGAGCCTGTCACATTTAAGGCACTATATGCAATACTTTATATGTGCTGGCATATAATCCTCAAGTTCATGAAGTGGGTACAGTTTTTAAGATAAGAGGCATCTTGCCAAAAGACACTTTTCAGTATTTAAACCCAGAACTGTTTAGTTACAAGTTTGGTCTTACTCACTGTACCTCTCTGTGCTGAGGAGTATGTGACTTCAAATGAAAGGTGCTATTCTCAGCTTCATTAGTATATAATTTATAAGAAAAAAATCTATATGTATGTATTTCCAGTGTTACAGCTTGAGGTTTTCATATATGTATATATTGTGATATAATTAAGCTAATTAACATATTTATGACCCCATATATTTGGCATCATCTTTTTCTTCTCTCTGCCTCTCTCTGTGCATATATATGTATGTCATACACACACTTAAAACATATCCTTTTATCAAATTTTAAATATAAAATACAGTATTATTAACTGTAGTCACATTGCTGTACATTAGCTCTCCAGAACTTAGTCATCTTGAATAACTGAGGCTTTTTATTTTTACATCTCCCATTTCCTCCTCCTCCCAGCTCCTGGCAAAAGCCATTTTGTACTCTGTACCTGAGATTGACTATTATAGATTTCACATATTAGTGAGATCATTTGATATTTGTCTTTCTATACCTGGCTTATTTCACTTAATGTAATGTGCACCACTTTCATCCATACCATTGCAATGGCAGTAATTTCTTTTCTAAGGTTGAATAATTTTCTCTGTATGTATATGTGTATATGTATTCTCTTTATTTACAATCTACCCATCTGATGAATATTTAGGTTATGTTCACATACCTTGGCTATTATAAATAATGGTGTAGTGAACATGGATGTTCAGATCTCTCTTTGAGATGCTGATTTCATTTCATTTGTATAAAAGTTCCCCCTTCTCTGTGGGCAGTTTGTTCCAAGATCCCTAGTGGATACCTGAAGTCAGAGATAGTACTAAACCCTTTATATACCCTATTTCCTATGTAAACAAAACTATGGTGAAGTATAATTTATAAATTAGGAAGTTAACAACTAATAATAGAACAGATCAAGTATAATAATATACTGTAATAAAAGTAACATGAATATGATCTCCCTCAACATATTTTACTGTAATATAGTCACCCTTCTTGTGACAATGTGAGATGACACAATGCCTATGTGATTAGATGGATTGAGATGAATGACACAGACATACTGGTGATAACTGAAATGGCTTTGTAAGTGACTAATGAGTTCATACACAAGATGAAGGGATTATTCATGTCCTGGGTAGATCAAAGTAGAATAGTGCAAGATTTCAATATGCTACTTAGAAAAGCACCCAACTTAAAACTTAGTAATTGTTTAGTTTTGGAATTTCCCACTTACTATTTTCAAATTGTGGTTGACTGTTGGTAATTGAAACTGAAAGAAGCAAAACCATGGATAAGGATATATGATATACCCAGAAGTGGAACTGTTGGATCATAAAGGTAAGGAAGTAAAGAGATAAGTATAACTTTTCATGGCAATTGGCCAGAATATTTAGCATTGCAGCATTTTACCAGGTAACAGTGAGACCCAGCATGGAGAAAGTGAGCTTCCAAGCATTAACATAATCATTTCAGTTGAGACTCTGTATGAGAAATGCTATACCATGTGCATTGTCACTATTACTGTTTGGATAACAAAGTGATTTGCAGTGGTTTAATTGTAGAAGCATTCCAGAAATCAAAACCCATCTTTAACTTGTCAAAGCTCTTTGCTAGTCTCTCTATTCTCGCTCCCTTGTTTTTTCAGTTCCATAATTCTTTCTTTTTTTTTTCTCTTTCCCACATCAGGCAATGTTCAGTCTTTGTATGGTGGAAAGTGGAGCTGATGAAGTGAATTTACATGGTGTGACCAGTCTGGGATTAAAGCAGGCTCTGGAGTTTGCATACACAGGACAGGTATGATACCAAATATGACCTGAGAGGCTTTGCATTTTAATTACAGCTAACCAGAAGAGATTATCCCAGAGGTACAAAATTTAGGTTTTTTTTTTGTTACCCATTTTTATGTTTGAAAAAAGGTCTCACATCTACCTAATTTTATAGCTAAAGTGATAGAAAAGTGAGTAGAGCAATTTGATTTTTAATGTGATCCAGTGAACATAGTATTTTAATCTTTGGGGTGGGGGTGCAACTGGTTTTACTTAGGGCTTTGTGCTTACAAAGTAGGTGCTCTACCACCTGAGCCACACCTCCAGTCCATTTTGGCCTGGTTATTTTGGATATGGGGGTCTCTCAAATTATTTGCCCAGGCTTGCCTGGAACCTTGATCCTCCTGATCTTAGCCTCCCAAGTTGCTAGGATTGCAGGTATGAGCCACCATTACTCAGCAGTATTTTAAGCTTGACTCCATGTTTGCCTGTATAATTTTTAAACTATTCTAAAGCACTGTTGTGAGGAAAAGAGTTTGTATGTATGGTAAGTTTGATTCTCATTGTTATCACTCAAGCTCAATGACTCAATCATGGTTTTATTGTCTTAAAAACAAAACTGAAACAGGATTCAAGCTGTAGCTCACTGGTAGAGTGCTTGTTTGAAATCTACAATGCCCTGGGTTTGATCCCCCAAAAGGAAAAAAAAATCAAAATAATTTTAAAGCCTTGAGAAGCTGTGTCCAATGTCTTGGCATGCTGTCCTCTATGCTCAGAGTCAAGGTGTTAGGTATTTAGATTAGAATGTGATGGTTTGAAATCCTTATTTTATGTCATTGAAATTGTTACAGGATTTACAGGAATCTCTATAGAATATTCATTGATGTTGAGTGCTACTTTAAATAAGTCAAACTTGTTACAGGATGGATGTTTTTCCTGTTTTATAAAAGTCTGTCCTTTAATTTCATTTCATCCTACTTGGGTTTAATATCTTCTATGCTAAAATAAGGATATCTTCTCTTAACAGGTGGGAGAGAGAGGTAAATATATAACTGCATATCCTCTAAGGGATGGGAACTGACAGAAGCAGAGCACAAAACACAGTAGGGTAAAGGAGGGCATGGTTGCTGGGACCAGCAGGACAAAATTTCACAGAGAAAGTGTATTGGGACCTTGAGGAATATGAGAGTTCACCTTTCCTCTGAAATTTCTATAGAGGCTCATTAAAATGTAAGACATTGTCCAGTCTCTTTCCTGAGGTTAGAAGTATTCAAGATATGTGTCTTAGAATAGTTGAGACAGCCTGACAACTGGAATGAAAACAGTAGCTATACAGGAAGAACTCATGTTATCAAGTAAAAGGTATAAGAGGAAAAGAAAGGTGAGAGATCACAAATTTAGGGTCAACCCAAAATTTCATGCCTTACGAAATTGAGACAGGTAATTATTGTTCAGAGTTGCCAAACATTTTCCCATTGAGGTGAGTAAACAATGTATTTTATGCATTTTGGTTTATAGATATTGAGAAACACATGAATTCTAGATTGTTTCTTGTATATATTTACTTCTTAAACATGAATCAGTCACAATTTCATTTACCCATCTCTAAAGTAAGATTGATAGTATATAATTCATACCCCCACTGGTGTGCAATAGGAATGAGGTACTAAATGGTGTTTTTTAGTGAAACTACTCAAGTACTTAGCTGCATTAACAATGAAGTGATTTAAACTTAGAGTCTATAAGCATATTAAATCATCAATAAACACAAATACACAAATATTTCTGTGAGTCCTGTGTAAAAATACACATGTAGAAATAAGAGGCTGCCTTATTGTTTGCCATGATTGCTTTGTGGCTTCCTTGAGAATGGCTAAATGTATATACATATAATAACTGACGCCCATGGTGTCAAGGATCTGTGAAATGTGAACTGAAGATAGCAGAATGGGAGCTGAGATTCTGAAGGGAAAGAAAACTACTTAGAGGAAAGTCGTTTGAAGAAGGACAGATATATCCAATTGCCCAGTGGTCTTTTGCCTCATATGCTCCAATTCCACTTTGGTAGAAAAAGAAAGCCAAGTGTGAATAAAATAATGAATACAATGTCTTTAGATAAAAAGAAAAGGAAAACAAGATGAAAGGCTAAACCTGAAGCTGCATTTATTCTTTCCAGACACTATAGACCCATTCTTGACTGCAGTAACTTAGCTCTTCAGATGTGTCCTGACAGGGCAGGAAGGGGGTTAACAGCTCACCAAGCACTCTGAAACAGCCAGGAGACATTGGTAGGCACTTTATGGGTGTTATTTAACCTAATATTTAAAACATCTCTGAGAATTCAGGGATCCCATTTGAAAGACAACAAGCCCAGGGAAGTGTATTAAACTAAGATCATTAATCCAGCAAATGAAACCCATCCAGTCCTCCTAATTTCAAGTCTGTTGTGTTTTTGTGAATGTCTTATATCATTAAGAAAAATTTAAGTCGTGTTTGTTATACTTTGTTGAAGATGGCACAGAAATGTTTGGAGATTTTAGAGAATGACTCTTTTGATGGTTTTCTCAACCTGGAAGCTATGCCTCTAACCTGCAGTCTGAGGGTTTGGAGTTCCTGAACTGGTACCCTCTGCATGATCACTCTCTTGCAGGGTGGAGAATGACATAGCCTTTTATAGATAGCATCCAAGGAAGTTTGGTTTCTTAAACATGAAGATGACTTCATAATAAATCTGTTTTCCCTTTGAGTCCAGAACATAGATGATGGCAAAACAATGACATTGTAGTGTACTTAGGAAATTTGAATGGCTGCTATCTCTTACTATGGAATTGAAATTAACCTTAAGCAAAGAATTGAAATATGGAGTCACGAATGAAAGTATAATTCTTCATTTTCTTAATTATTATTGATCACCGGTAGCAGGACCTTTGCTGATATATATACATGTCTTTAGCCTTGACATGTCTGTATATTTGTGAAAATGTAGGGTTAACATTGAATTTGTCTACCTATAGATACTTCCCCTGACAGGTGATTATATGTTTAGTCAGTTGTAGTAAGCATAGTACAAAATGTAAGTATTTTAAGTGTTTGAAAATTGCTGCTGTCTTGGAGAGAAGCTGGAAGTACAGAGTGGGAGTGATGAATGAATACTGCTAAGTGCAACGATGTGTGTGTTCCTCCTACACACTGCTCTAAAGTACAGCCTTCTTAAAATTGTCCCACAGATTTCATCCAGGAAATTTTAAAGAAAAGTCAAAATTTTCCCCTAGTACTAATATATCCTCTGAAAATACATGCACCTTTTCTCTCTCATAACAAACACAGGGCTGCACAAGCACACGTTCTCTTTTCACTCACTGGAGAAGTGTCCTTCCTCAGAGGGCACCCTGCTCAGAGCGTTGTTTGAGCAGAGCTCAGGATGCATTGCGCCCTCTGGGTGTCCTTGCACAGCCATATATTCTGTGATTACAATAGGACCAGGCCACTCCTGTTCCCTTGGCCCTGTTTTGGGAGCTAGATCAGAAGCAAATGGTGTATAAACTGTCACTGGGACAAATCTACTTGGGGAGAAAAACGTGAATATAAGAAAAACACATTCCCACTTACCCTGGTGAGCAAGAGGATTCATCCTATTACCTTTTTTTTTTCATTTTTCTTTTATTATTCATATGTGCATATAAGGTAAGGCTTGGTTCATTTCTCCCCACTGCCCCCACCCCCTCCCTTACCACCCACTCCACCCCCTCCCTCTCCCCCCCCTCAATACCCAGCAGAAACTATTTTGCCCTTATTTCTAATTTTGTTGGAGAGAGAGTATAAGCAATAATAGGAAGGAACAAGGGTTTTTGCTGGTTGAGATAAGGATAGCTATACAGGGCATTGACTCACATTGATTTCCTGTGCGTGGGTGTTACCTTCTAGGTTAATTCTTTTTGATCTAACCTTTTCTCTAGTACCTGTTCCCCTTTTCCTATTGGCCTCAGTTGCTTTAAGGTATCTGCTTTAGTTTCTCTGCATTAAGGGCAACAAATGCTAGCTAGTTTTTTAGGTGTCTTACCTATCCTCACCCCTCCCTTGTGTGCTCTCGCTTTTATCATGTGCTCATAGTCCAATCCCATTGTTGTGTTTGCCCTTGATCTGATGTCCACATATGAGGGAGAACATACGATTTTTGGTCTTTTGGGCCAGGCTAACCTCACTCAGAATGATGTTCTCCAATTCCATCCATTTACCAGCGAATGATAACATTTCGTTCTTCTTCATGGCTGCATAAAATTCCATTGTGTATAGACACCATATTTTCTTAATCCATTCATCAGTGGTAAGGCATCTTGGCTGTTTTCATAACTGTTCATATTTTAGAGTCTCTTGGAAATCTAGAAAAGTATGGTATTTTTTAAGTAAAGAAAATCTTTTTACTATAATTTTAATCATGTAAAACCATTCATGCAAATAGAAAAACTGAAGGAAACTCTCCCTTAATTTCCATGCTCTTATATACTAAAGTTTTTCTTTCTGGTTTTCATTTGGCTGCCTCATAAGCACACATGACACTTTTATGTATATCCCTGACAAGGTACACTGTTGCATTACATTTTGATTGAAACTATTTATTCTGTACAACCGAATACTTTTCTCTGGAGACCTGAGCATTAAACCGGATAGCAGAGTGACAGGAAGCTTAATTGTAACTGCTAACCCATGAACCATTCCTTCAGGAGTAAATGTGTCACTTTATATGGAAAAAGTCCACATCAGATTTACTATACACATAACTTGGTTGTGCTAAATGGTAGCACGTGGAACAAATCTGGGAGAAATTTTTCTTAAAAATGATTCTCTTGAGAGCAGTGTTAAGACTGTTCAGTAGTTTAAATATATTAATTTCAAAATCCTTCCTTTATCTAGCAGTGCCTGGTGAGTCAAAGGCTTCCAAGGCACTTCTACTGTGCCCCAGGCTCTGGAGGGCATAGTCAGAAATTCACATTCTACTGAAAAGTATTTTTAATTTTTCAGAAAATGATA